ATCTGCAGGTTTGTTTAATTTTATTCACTTGATTTTGAAGAGCCGTGGTGGCACAGTGGTTAGAATGCAGTATTGCAGGCAAATTCTGCCAACTGCCGACTGCCTGCAATTTGGCAGTTCAAATCTCACCAGGCTCAAAGTTGATTCAGCCTTCCATCCTTCCAAGGTCAGTAAAATGAGGACCCAGATGGTTGGGGACAATATGCTGACACAGTAAATCACTTAAAGAAGGCTGTAAAGTACTGTGAAGTGGTATATAATTCTAAGAGTTATTGCTATTGCTCTATCCATGCTCTGATGCTAACCAGCATCCTTTACGTTTACCACATTTACCATGTTTGTCTGTCCATCTGCAGAACACTGTGGACAAGCTTATTAAGAAGACAAATTTAGCTCTTGTGGTTGGAACAAACAGCTGGAGAGAGCAGTTCATTGAGGCTATCACTGTTAGTGCTGGTAAGTTTCTATTTCTATGTACACCATAAATTACAATTAGTTTCCTAGTCTATGGTTATCAAGTTAACTTGACTCCAATATTGGTAGCTTGCACTCAGGATCTATGACAAAAGAAGAAGCGGTCTCCCTTTTCTTAAAAAGGAAATCGCTTTAGCATTGTAATTTCAGTGAATTAGTCTTTAAGTCTGCATTGTATACATCTGTCTGATGGAGAAGTTCTTTTATTTTAGGTCATGGATGGATAGCTTGTGTCTCCAAAGCCTCTTTCGGTGGTGCCCATGGCAGTTTGGCAATCTAGCTTCCAAATATCAATATTGCAGCTTCATTTTGTTTTAAGCACAAAGTAATTTGTGCTTTGTGTTTTGTGAGCTGTGAAATAGGCTTAACGGTTTAAAAAAGCATAGAAAAAAATAAAATAAATTCCCAAACTCCCAGACCACCCCCTTGGCAACTTCCAGCCCAGGCAACTGTGGTACAACTCTGCCTGATCTGCATCATTTCCCTGCTATGATGGCTCTAGCTTTCCCCACCTAAAATAGATCAAAAATGTGTACCCTTTCCTTCTGTATGATCTTCAAGGTTTCTGGGTAAATGCAATATTACTGGGTTCTGGGTAAATGCAATTTTGAAAATCATGTCGTCCCTTTTAAGCGGAGGCATGGGGTGGTGTAGCATTTAAGAACTGCTACCTATTCTATTTATTTTAATGGGGTGCAATAAGGCTGTTGGAAGTAAAGCAATAATAGAACATTGCCATGTGTTCTTTGTAGCACTGAATTCAATTTACTCTAACTCTAAGTTAGTACTGCAAATATGTTAACATTGAGTAGAATTTAATCTGGATACTGATCCCTCATCTTGCATTCCTTCAAAAAAGAAAGGCAAGCAGGAAGAGAGAATAAATAATACATAATATATGTGATTATAAAAAAAAATTCAGTCTGTGCATGTGTGTATGCCTGTACGTGCATCCGTGTCTCTCAGTAAATGTACTGGGAGTATTATATAATCTAATGCATACAAATTTGATTTGATTCTCTGACTTCATAAATTAAAAAAAAATCTCACTGTGGATCAGTGGTGGGTTTCAAAAATTGTTAGAACCTACTCTGTGGGTGTGGCCTCCTTTGTGCGAGTGGACATTTCAAGTTTGTAAAATGCATTTTGAAAGTATCTTTGGTGAAGGCCG